GAGGCTGCAAGGACTCTATTCTGGACTGTCAAGAAATCTGAACCCCTGCTTCTTACAGACGCTCCTCCATTATCAACAGAATCTACTGACATTGCATCTGAGGAAAATCCGTTGGCTATGACTCTGGTATACCCTCCTTCTAATTCCAATGCTCCAGACTCTACAGAACCAATGGAAATTGACTCTGTTCAAGCTCCAAAACCTAATCATACTTCTTCATCTGAGATAAAGAAAAAACATCCAGATTTTGAAGATAAGATTGCTGCTCTGGAAGCTGGCCAGTCAGAGATCAAGTCCTGGATGGCAAAGTAGGATAAGAAGTCTGAGGATATGACAGAATGGATGTCAAAGCAAGATCAAAAGAATGAAACTATGGCTAAGTGGATGTCCAAGCAAGAGCAATCATCCTCTGAGATTACAGATCTATTGAAGATGCTTTTGTCCAAACACTCTTAGATTTTCATTTCTTTCATTCTAATGTTTTTACATCTGTTGTTTGCCTATGTACTTTATTGTTATATCTTCTGTTGTTTGCCTATGTACTCTTGATCTGATCTTATGAATGAATCAAAGTTTTCTCCATTGAATTATCTAATTTACTGTTCCCTTTTATTTGTCCTTTTAAAGTTTTTACTTTTTGCTTATGACAAAAAAAGGGGGAGAAAATATAGATCTGAACTGTTTAATATAACTTCACCAGAATGAAACTTCAGACATATTTATTCTATCTAACATTTAATCTGACTATTTCAGAACATTTGATAAGTACATTCTATAAAAGAAACTCTGAGTCTCTCAGATCATTTGACTATTATCAAACTCCGAATCTTAAATCTGCAAGACATTCTGACTTTCAAATGTTAGAAGAACAAACAAGATCTAACTCTGAAGATTACTCAAGACAAAAGGGAAGTTTCTATTCCTTATTTGTATTTAACTCAGGGGGAGATTCATCATCTCAGGGGGAGTTATAATTCTAATATTTTCAATTAAACAAAATTTCTGATGTTTTTTGTCATCATCAAAAAGGGGGAGATTGTTAGAACACAGATTGGTTCTTAATAATATCTCTTTGTTTTGATGATAACTATTAGGAAATTTTGTATTTAAGAATTATATACTCTAAAATTTGCTTGAGAGTTTCTACTGCAGATAGTAAAGAAATTAACACTCCAGAAGAAAATCAGAATTAAATACAAGAAATTAACTAGACTCTGAAGCGCCAGATGCACTCATTAGAAGATTCTGATTGCTGCTCACAGAAGATCCTGAGCGTAGCCTCCAGAAGGATCTAAGACAAGAAGCTCCAGAAGAATCTGAAGCAAGTCAGAAGCATCTGAAGCAAGTCAGAAGCATTTGAAGCAAAGAAGAATATTGTATGAAGAGTTTCTCAAAGCATAGTTTCTACAGAAGATTCTGAAAGTACTAAAGCTGCCAGTACTGAAGTTCTGTTTCAAATATGCTATGATATTTAACACGCTGAAAGCACACATGCTGCAGAAGACTCTGATACAGCAACGTTCTGATTATCATTAGAAGACTCTGACCCAATCAGACTCTGATGAACTTGCTGAAAACTGAAGAAGAAATATTCAAAGATTATATCCGTTGGAGTAAATCAAACGTCTCTTTCCTTATTTGTGCTAGACACAAGAACACAGACAAAAAGGATTTTTCTGTGCTTTCTTCTTCTAAGAAAGGTCACTTGATGTGAAGACAAAAAGGCTCTGACCTTTTTGGGACACTCTTCTCAACGTGCAGCTCACCTTGGATCAGCTGCCTATAAAAGGAAGACTCCACCATATTCTTCAGTTAGACATTTTTTTTAAAAAGAAATTAAAACATTCAAGCTCTCATCTTTCATATTCATTCTTAGAATTAATTGTACTTAAACTTAAGAGAAATATCACTGTTGTGATAAAAGCTTTTTAGAAGCATTCTTACTCTTGTATTAGATTTACATTGATTGTAAAGGATTTCCTTAAGAGGATTCAGTTGGAATCAGTAGCTCTTGAGAAGACTAAGAACAGTTGTTCTTAGGTGTTACTATTGTAATCTGTTTGATTAAATAGTGGATTAAGTCCTTGTTGAGAAAGGCAAATCACTCTAGGAAGGGTGGACTGGAGTAGTTGAGTTCAACGAACCAGGATAAAAATAATTGTGTTTTAATTCTAAGTTTTAATCTTTCATACTTATTCAACCCCCCTTCTAAGTATTATCTCACCTTCAGGAGCCCACATACGGAGTCATGTGGCTCTCGTCGAGTTTCAGGGTTGTGAACATGTGGGCGTACATTATATCCACTGAACTCCCCTCTTGGCCTCGTGGGTTTCATGTCGAGGATTTTCACCCCTCCGGGTATACTGTTTCAGATGCCCTTCTTTGATTTAGATCTCGATTGCATCTTTGAGGTGGATGCAATCTTCCGTGACGTATCCGTGGCTCCGGTGTAACCGACAATACTTAGATTTGTCCACGTTGAGTTAGAAACCCATTCCACATGAAACTAGGTTAAAACTCCTTATGAAAATGCTGAATTCTTGACTTACAAGTCAAGAAACCTTGAAATTTCAAAGTGTTTAAAATCCTTCACAACTTGATGAGCCCATAACTCCAAATCCATTCATTTTTTGCACCTGGATCTGTATGACACTTTTGTAAGGCTCCTTAGGACTTTTCCAACAAGCTTTGAATCACTCTATTTGGATATTGGGTCATATGAGCCTTATGGACCACAATTCCCTCATTGGAAAACCTTCTAGACCAAAAGTCAAACTACAATTGACTTTTCCAACAAGAAACTCTGATTAGGATTCTTGCACTGCACTGCTTCCATTCTCTTGGTGGCAACCTCAACTTGGACTCATTCTTGATCACATGTGATATCCTTGATGATATAGAGACTTGTTATGTAGAGGATCAATCTAAAACCTTGACTGATCAATCTCTAGAAACCCAGATTTCTTGACTGTATGAAACCATAATTCATCTGCATCTTGACAAAGACAAACTTGAAATAGGTTAAGGTTAAATAATCAATGTTGATGCTCCTAGAATGCTAACGGAATCTAGGGGGTAAACTTTGAGGTATGACAATAACCTAAGAGGAGAAGTTGGTAACGGTGCGGATACTTCCTTCTAGGAAGATCCCTGGATGATTGGATGTTGCCTTAAGGCAGCCTATAGGGTGGAATCAAAAAAAGATATATCAGTTAAAGATGTGGTTAGGTGTGAGAGCAACAATACAATTTGGATTGGAAATTGGGTTTGCAATTTAAATGAGGAAAATGTGATAAGGGAGGGGGGAAATCAAAGATGGGATAAATAGAATCAATTTGAAGGATGGTGAGATAGATAAATGGAAGTGGTACAAGGATGTTTACTCAGTCAGAGAAGCGTATGGGGTGATCATGGAGGGGCTGGTGTCTCAAACAGGGGAGAATAAGGAATTGGCGAAAGCTTGGAGTAAAATTGTTCCGCTTAAAGTCTCGATTTTAGCATGGAGAATCTGGCGGGATAGGATTTCTAGTAAAGATAACTTAGTTCGAAGAGGAATCCTAGTCGAATCTCAAAATTCATGTCCGCTAGGCTGTGGTAAGGAAGAAAATGTTGAACACATTTTCTTTGAATGCTCGTCAGTTGTAGAGGCATGGAGCGAGGTACTAGGATGGCTCAATATTTCTTATGTTTCTTATGTGTAAAGAGTCTATTGCCTTGCTGTGCTCCTGTTATATTTTCTTGTTTTGGTTTTGTTGGCATAAATTGATAGGTTTTTATTTTGTTAGTGGCTGGTGTTTCCGGTTGGTGTTTTCTTGTTATAGTGTTAGTAGGTTGTTTTTCTCTGATATTATAACAAGAATTTGTGTTTTTTAAGGTGACATTATTTATGCTTGGTATTAATATATTGATTTTATTTGACTTAAAAAAAATAACTTTAAAGTGTTCTAGTAGGTCATAACTTTTAATAGTGCATATTTTAATAAGTTTTATAGGGCACTAACGGATTAAAAAATACTGTAAAAAGTCGTTTTTGATAATGTGACACCTTGTCCGTGTTGGATATACATTTGCAGCATTCTTTTATAAGAAATGATATTACTATGCCATAATCCTACACCTACACCATATTTTACTATTCACCAATACGGTGAACAGTGAAATATTATAACAAACTTTTGTTAATCAATTTTTTATATTGTATTAACCAATTTTTTATTATTGTTAAAAATTATTTTTTACATCTGAAGGTTTATTAACAAATTTCATCACTTTATTAACTAATTTTTAATATTTTATTAACCAATTTTGTTTCACTATTTTAAAGTAATCGTTTATAAACATTGTTCACTAACCTGTTAAAAAAAAAATTTTTTTATCTTATAAAATACTACATATAAATACGGTAAACAAATAGTATATACGATGATAAATATATACGGTGTAGGTATTTGGTATTATCAAATAACAACCGAATTCACGACCTCACATACATAAATAAATCTATCGTTGCGAGTTACAATTCACCTAAAGATCCAAAGGTGCCACGCTTTGCGCCATTTGTGCTGGCTCACTCCATAATTAAATGCCTGGGCATAATCGTTAGATTCCGTTGCCCAGGTGTATTCTATTAATCTTCTAGGTACTAAGATGTGATTGAGCTGCTGAATCTCATCATTCTCATGCTTTGCTTATGTTGGAAATATATTTGCAGTAATAACCGGAACTATGGAATATACCAATACCAATACCAGACCGATCGGTCTTACGGTTCTCAACAAAAACATTATGAGACATCAAAATTTTACTGTAAAAAAAATCATATTTCTTTTCCATTCATGCAGATGAGTAAAGTACCACACCACCAGTATCAAAGAATTTATGACACTTGAAAATTACATCAAAAAGAAAATCAAGTAATCAGTGTTCTTGTATTCTACAGAGTGACATGTACTTCTTTGTTTCCGTGTTTCCGTGTTTATGAACACCTACAAATTCTTAGCTCAGGGGCTTTGTAAGTATGCTCTACGAATCTCCTCCGTATCAGCTGTATTTTGACGTTGTAAATGAGATACGCGAAGCTGCTCCAACCGTGCTTTTATTGTTTCCTCAAATTGCATGTCCTCTGGATTATGGGCATATGCCACATAGTAAGCTAAAACAGATGCCTGTGGCCATGCAATTGCCAACCTACACTGCAAACACACATTTCAACAATGTTTCATGTTAGCCACACAAGTAATATACAAAAGATAGTCTCTATTCAATAATTGTAACTGAGTTCTTACAATGAAATAGCCTATGATGAAAGCATAAATGGATAGTTCCATGGCATAGTCCTTGTACACTATCAGACTCCAAATTCCACTCACAAGACAACAGATTGCACCTACTGCAACACCACTCAGGAAACAGAATGCACCAGTGAGATCCAAATCTATCAGTTCTTGTAATCCGACTCTACTCATGAACATCTCCCAAGTATCGCAAGAAGCTTGCACAAACCCTTTGTTATAAACTCCAACGTGCACAAAACCCCATCTATTCCCATAACTCACAAGAAGCGCTGCGAGTCCCATTGCACATGGATCGCATGAAAACATGCACTCACCATTTTTACCTCCGAGGAGATGTTGTGATCGCGCGAAGCCTCGGAAAAGTACGATGAACGGGACGAGGATGGAGCCTAGAGAAACACTTCCGATTAAGTGTTTGATTGTGTCGCAGAATGCATTTCCAATCTTCATTTCTCTATTATTGGTAAAAAAGATATACTTAACCCTAGAAATTGTCACTTGCATTGCATTCTTCATAACCTGCATGGTCCATACAAGGCTCACAATGATTACAATGATGCAAATATCTGTTAGTTTGGTTTTGTTTTCCATAGCTCTTGCGCCTCCGATTCCATACACCAGAAAACAGCAGTAAAGAGTAGCGACGATGATCGATAAGAATGTCAAACACTTGGCTTTAGGAAGAGGAAAATATATGGCATCTTGAAACATTTCGGTTGCATATTTGAATCTGTTATTGTTATTGACCCATAATCCATACAATGATTGAATCGCTGCAGATAACAAAGAAAATAAACCAGGTATCCAACTCCATGCAGATTGGATTAACATAAACAGAATTCCCATTGCCAATGTTAACAGTGGACTCAACCAAAATGCTGCGATGAATGCCCTTTTCGGGTAACATGCAATGATACAATGCCATGTAAAGCCAAGAATTCCTGCACACAGGGTTGATGCTAGAAGTGGAGGGTACCATTTATGAGGGTGGAAATGGTGGGTTGTTGAAGAGTCTGAGGTACGATAATACCTGGTGATGAAAATGACCAAGGCTGAAATCAAGAACAGTTGCAAGTAGAAAAGAATTTGGAAAATCCATTTCACAGCTTGTCCTGTAACTGTTGTTGTGTTCGTAAAGCTTGAATCTTGTGCCTGCACATGAAACAATAGCGGCTATAACGTATCAGAAAAGGAAAAAGTGAACAAGAAAAGATTAGAAAAAACAAAAAGAAAGAAAGAAAGAAGACCTGAATGTGAAGAGTTTGCGGTTGAACTTGTGGTCGTGTGCTAGTGCTACTACTGGAAGACGCCATTTTTCTTGAATTTGAAACGTTGAAGTTGAAGACAGTTTGTTGGAATTTCTTTCACTTTCTTGCTCGCCACCGATGTGACAAACTCAGAAACTAGAGAAAAACGACACAAATTCTTTTTGCTTGAATGATTCAATCAATGTTACCCGAAATTTATATGTGTTGTGATAACATGGCATGATGACATGGACAGACTCTTCAGAAATTTATGTAACATGTGATTTTTTTTAATAATAACGAGGGTCTGAGGCCATTGTTTTTTATTTATGTTTCTATAGCGGGTAAGTCTTTACTCAATGAATTTTTTTTTTCTTTCTATATATGTAAAACATAATACTACTTTCTATTGAAGCATCCTTTAATCACATCATAGTTTTTTAATAGTTCATAATCAATTATAAATATTTTCTTTTTTTTTTTATTGAAAAAAAGAAATTGCAGACTGTTTTTTATTTTTATTTCTTTTGTATATTTAACTACTGATTTTATTTATTTAACTGATTTAATTGAAAGAAAATGCGAATCTTCAAAATTTTAAATATCTCATCCTTTATAAATATTATTCAAAATAAATATTATTTATTTAAATAAAAATAAGAACTAAAATTTATAATTAATTGTTAACTGATTGGATAAGCCCACAATATATGACATTGTAGCTATGCAATCCATAAATCAACTTGTGAGAAATCTTAGACCGAGAAGTTATGCTAAATCTCTATGTTAGTGTTAGACATTTTTTTGTGGGGATAGAAAAAAAGAGAATAAGAAAATAAGGATTTATTGAATGAATTGTTACAAATAATGATACATAATATGATTATTTATATACAATTCTAATTAGACTTGGATTAATACAACTTAGATTATATTTAAATATTAAATCTAATCAAATCAAATCTAATCTAATATTTCAACTTACCCTCATAATCCAAGTTGTCGAACCTATGATAATCATAGTCGATCTGAACTATTTCTAATTTCTTTCTCAAATTCAGGAATCTGTCGATCTTCAATCTTTTGTTGAAAATGTTGCCAACTGTGCTTTACTTAAGCAGTGTCTAACTTTAAGTTCACCTCAATTTACCTTTTATCTTAAGAAGTGAAATCTAGTTTCGATATGCTTACTTCTTCCATGCAGAACTGGATTCTTTGCCAACTTTATGGCAGACTTGTTGTCGATTTGCAACACAAGAAGTTTCTTCACTTCGACCTCCATTTCTACAAGTACCGATCTGATCCAAATTGCTTGACATGCAGCATATAATTCTGCTATATATTCCGCTTCACATGATGATAGTGCCACCACAGGTTGCTTTCTCGAGCAACATGAAGTTGGAACACCAAATACTTGAAAGAAATATCCAGTAGCGCTTCTTCGATCTTCCTTATTTATGCACCAGTCAGCATCTAAATAACAAGTAACCATAGCTTATTTTCTTTTAGAGTCTCGTCGAAATAAAATTCTATAGTTTGTCAATCCTTTTAAGTATTTCAGGATTCTTCTTGCAGCCTTCATGTGTGACACCTTTGGTTCACTCATGTACCTGCTCACTAATCCGACTAAGAAACATATATCAGGTCGACTATTGCACACATATCTTAGAGATTCGACAATCTGTTTGAACAAAGTTGCATCGACTTTGTCTTCATATTGTTGTACCCCAAAATTTGACTAACATTTTCTTGTACTTGGCTTGTGTTTCATTTCATTTTAGAATTTGCATTTGCATAGCATTGTTCTTAACAAGGGATCAAGAGGTGTATTGTGCCATTCAAGAGGAGAGTCTTATTCGTTACAAGCTCAAACAAGAGCATTTGTGCAAGCCATCAAGTGTTTATCATCACCATGAAGGTGTCAGAGCTCCTTGAAAGGAGAGATTTGTGTGTAGATGTTATCTCCCATCTTGAGGATCATCAGAGGGTTATCAAGAGTTCATAAGGTTTTTATCTTGGATAAGACATGGTTTAAAATCTCATTGAGTACCTTAGGGGTCATTGTGGAGCTTGTGTAGTCATTCTATTCATCTGCAAAGGGCATAGACAAAGGACATGGAACTAGGGTTTCATCTGGTCAACCCAAAGTCAACTGTGGACTTGAGAAGGTTTACAACTTGGTTCTAAGTCATTGAGGCCATGGGAAGTCATCCCAAAGCATCTCGGATGTCATGTTAAGATCAAATCAAGAGGATTCAAGAGTTCAAGAAGTTACTAAATTAGGGTTTTAGATGATTTTAGTGTAAAATCCCCTTCTTTAGTGCCTAACTTCAAGGACAATTTACCCTATGATGTAAGTTCAATCTCATCTTCATGAAAACATGAGACCTGGCGTCTCGTTTATCCCATTGGGATCTAGCATTCCAATGATATCCCAATTAACCGATTGCAAGACTGGCGTCTCGTTTATCGAGTAGTCGTCATTCTCCCTTAGAATATTTAACCCGACTCTCTCCTCTCGCCCCTGTGCGATTGAAACTTTCTCAAAACACATATTACGTAATTATTCGAATGAAAAAGGTGTCGTTGGAATCTAGCGTTCCAATAATGCCCCGATTAATTGATTGCGAAGCTGACGTCTCGTTTATCGAATAGTCGTCATTCTCCATCAAATTACCTAACCAAACTCCTATTTCTTGCCCCCGTGCAATTGAAACCTTAAACCTATTCAACTATATCCTCTAACCAAAACATCCAATGCGATAAACACAAATTCCTCGCCCTCGTGCGATCTCCAACCTAGATATCTTTTACCAAGAACATTGTTTAGTCCCTTCTTCCGCGCATAACAAACTCGTGCTTCAGCCTCCCCTAGTGAGCAGACAAGCCAATGTTTAGCAGTTAGAATGCGACCTAAACACTCGTTCACATACCACAAACCTTTTACCGTAGTTAGCCGAACTACGGCTGCTCTGATTCTTCATTCTCTTCTGAATGTAAGATACGTAGGCACAAGATTGCGATGATCTTGGCGAGCACAATCCCCTTTTTTTCCCGTAGTCCACGAACTACGAATGCTCTGATTTTCCACTTCTTACAAGTGAAGATATGTAGGCACAAGGGCCCCAATCCTTGGTGAGCACCCTATCTATAAACCACCCATTTCCCCCTTATAGGAGAAACTTTAGAAGAAAACAATTAAGCATAGTTAACTTTACTCTCGAATCAATCAAGAGGTTCCCGTTGAGTACAACGGACGTAGAGGGTGCTAATACCTTCCCTCTGCGTAACCGACTCCCGAACCTAGAATATTGGTTGCGATGACCATGTTCTTATCCCTCTTAAAGGTTTTATCGATATTTTCCTATTCCATCCTTGGAATGAATAAAGTTCGGTGGCGACTCTGTTTCGAACAGTATTTTCCGCGGCCATCGCGAGGATCATATTTTTCGAGGTACGACAGTTAGAGATGACCTCTGTCGTGGGTGATATGTAAGGATATTAGACGAATGATTGAGTTGTGTTTAACATGTTCAGAAGAATGCATGTGTTATCAATTAATGAGATCCAATCCCAACAAGGCTTCGTTTATATTTCAGTCTTTACTTTATATTTTTCGTCTTTATACTTTCTGCTTTTATTCATGGTTCCTTGAACCTTTTAAACCAAACCTTTTGAACAAAATGTTTAGAATATAGAGACCGTTGAACGACGTTCTTTCATCGCACCGATCCCTGTGGAGACGACAAAACTGGGTACTTAATATTTTTGGTTGCTGCTTTATCGCTTCAACAGTAACCACTAAGAATCCCTTTTCGACCAGTTGTCCAACACTTAGCATATTGAACTTCCTTCCAGGGACATAGAGTACATCTTTGACCAAGGCTTTTGCTCCATTACTCATTTGAATAACTATGTTTCCAGTACCTTCTGCTGGCAATGAGCTATTGTCAGCAAGTTTCACCTTACTCTTATTTGACTCGTTGAAATCTACTAACCATGTTTTTTTCCAGTCATGTGATTCGAACAATTTGAATCAAGGAACCAGATCTTGGATTCAACATGGTCATTTGGAACTGCAGCCGTAACCACCATATCATCTGAATCATCTAAATCTTGACGTGCAAGATTCGCTCCTTCGTCCTTGCCTTTGTTCGGACACTTGTCTTTCCTCTACCAACAATGCTTGGCCAAGTGACCATAATTTTCATAGTTATAGCACATCACACCTCTTTTCTCTACTTTGTCTTTCTGATAGAAATATCCTTTTCCTCTTTTCGAGGATTCATAAGTTTTATCATCGATCTTGTTCTTGTGAGAATTCGACCAAGACTTCTTGCCTTGAGTCTTGTTGATTTTTCTGTTGAACTTTTTGGAACCACCATTCTTCTTCCACGACTGCGCCTGTAGTGCTTGTATCGAGTCTTGAACTCCTTTCCATTCAAAAATCCTAATCTCATGTGCTTCCAACAAACCAACTAAATCTTCCAGGTTTAGGGTTTCAATATTGTTGGATACTTGAATAGCTACGATTAAATAATCAAAGCGAGAGGTCAAATTATGTATTATCTTCTCAACTATCATCTTATCAGTTAGGGTTTCACCATAACCCTTCATGATATGGACAAGTTTCTGCACCTTCGACACATAGCTAGAAGTCTTTTCATCTTATCCCATTGACAACAATTCATATTATCGTCACAATGTTTGCAAATTAACGACCTTAACTTTATCGCCTCCTTCATAGTACTTGACAAGAATATCTCACGCCTCCTTCGCCGATTCAGCATGAGCAACTCTGTCAAAGTTATCTACATCAACCGTTGATTTTTCTGTTGAACTTTTTGGAACCACCACTCTTCTTCCACGATTGCGCCTGTAGTGCTTGTATCGAGTCTTGAACTCCTTTCCATTCAAAAATCCTAATCTCATGTGCTTCCAACAAACCAACTAAATCTTCCAGTTTTAGGGTTTCAATATTGTTGGATACTTGAATAGCTACGATTAAATAATCAAAGTGAGAGGTCAAATCATGTATTATCTTCTCAACTATCATCTTATCAGTT